TCACAAACCCTAAATCCCAAAATCCCAAACCCCTGCAACCCCTAAACCCCTAAACCCTGAACACCTAAACCCCTAAACCCTAAACCCCTAAACCCCATAAACCCTATAAACCCTAAACCCCTGAACCTTCAACTGTGAGTGTCGAGGCTCACTCTCGCCAAGCCCTGTGCCGCCTTTTGGGCCATGCTGCGGCTGGTTCGCATAGTTTGCCTTTAGGGTTTCGGGCTTGGGGATTTTTGGGTGTATTTACATAGGGTTCGGGTTTAGGGTTTCGGGCTTAGGGATTTTGGGGTGTACCCCGCGGCTCCGAACACGGTCATGGGCTTTGTGGGCGAGGGTTTGGCACTACGAGGGTCCAGCAGCATTAAGGTAGGGTTGAGGGTTAGGGGTTCAGAGTTGAGGGTCTCGGGCTGGGCTGTGGCATCCGGGGTTTAGGTTCCCGAGCCATCTGCGCTTGCGCTTGAACCAGAGGAAGAGCAGTGTTAGTAGTGAGATGCTACCAAAACAAGAAGCCATGCTCAACATAGCGATGTGAATTTTAGCAGCAGGGTTCGGAGAACATCATTGTAGATATACCGAAACGCCTACCTACAACTACAACTTTGTCAATCCCCTCAGTAGCACTGCAGGTGTTTAGCTTTTGAGGTTCGGGGTGTTTGGGGTTGAGGGTTTTGGGTTTAGCGTTTAGGGTTTGGGGCTTGTGATTCAGGGTTTTAGGGTTCATCTGGGTGAAAGAGGCAAGCTTCGACTATCGACCGTGGTGCAAGCTATATACACTGCGCATGTACAAGTAGCTACGAATGCAGTTTCTTATGGTTCCCTGTTTTAAAGCTATACTGTAAGATAACCCCTAAACCCTAAACCCTAAACCCTAAACCCCTAAACCCTAAACCCCAGACCGTAAGATATCGTTACTAAGGCCCCTATCTCACACCGTATCTTAATCTGACATGGCCCACTGTTTGTGGTGGAGCGGCTGGGCCGGTGCGGAACACTGCACAGAAGCAGGCCCTGGTAGTTTAGGGTTTAGGGGTTTTGGGTTTAGGGTTTAGGGGTTTAGGGTTTGGGGTTTAGGGTTTACGGTTTAGGGTTTAGGGTTTAGGCGTTTAGGGTTTAGGGTTTAGGGTTTAGGCGTTTCGGGTTTGGGGTCTAGGGTTTGGGTTCACAAGTTCGCCTACATTCGAGTTCTGAGTGTGAGTTGAAAGAGCCTTGGCTTAGGAACAGGTTCATACCTCGGGCGTGGGGTTATGCTATGGAAGCCTATACGCAGGCATCGCGAGAAGCAAACCCCAATTCTGCTGATCTCGCTGCAGAGTAGTACTGCCAAGCACTGCCGTGATAATCAGACACCACTACTGGTTTCGGTTACAGCGTAGTACTGCCATTCACCATGCCGGCAATGGCGTCAGTCATGAACGGCTACGATAAGTACTTTATGCTAGAAAATGCTCCCACAGCTTTCTGAGGTTTTTTCTGGCTGACATCTTGTTGTGGATCTACGGCAGCAGAGCTGAACTGCTTTGAGCGCTGGGGTAGACAGGGGCTTGGGCTAGGGTGTTTTGGAGTTCCTGGATTTGCCGTTTTGGGTTTCATAAGCCTTGGTGCTTCACTGTTGAAAAGGGTTGATGCAGCTCAACTTGCCTTTCGACGAACATGACAAAATAGGGTGACGGCTTCAGGGTCTAGGGATGTTAGCAGATGTTAGCAGTCTAGCATGTCTTGGCTTGTCGTGTGGTGGGCTCGCTTGTCCATAAGACACATTACAAAATGTGTGCTCCTGTGCAGTATAACCAGTGAAGTGTTCTTTGTCTGCGACGGGTTGTCTCTACTTGACAAGCTATTGCTCACGATCTGTACGAAACTGTGATGAGCAGCAGAGATCCAACACCCTTTATCTGAACGAAGTTGGAGAAAACCTATCTGCATCCCTCATCGCTCTGAGTCTTCCATCGGTCCGAATCACAGCACGTCCTTCAGCACGTCTGTATCGTGGAGCATTAGCAAGGATGCTTGTGAGTCTTTTGGCAAGCACTTGTTGAGTCCGTACTGGGCAGGGGTTGTGTCCATGCTGCGTGGGGAATTTGGTAGCTCTATGTCTGAAACACGCCGCACTACGCGTGGTTTGCTGAGGAGCTTAGAAACAGTTCATACAGTGCCTTGCAGTTGGGCGTTGTACCTGATCTGAGCTCATGGTGTCTTCGGAGTCTTCTGTGCAGACTGCTTGTGCGTTCTTATCTTTGTGTGTGATGTATTTTTGTTTGCTTGGCAGTCTTCTCATGCTTCTGCCAGTGACTTGTGCGTGACTGTGATGAGCAGCAGAGATGCAACACCCTTTACCTGAACGAAGTTGGAGAAAATTTATCTGCATCCCTCATCGCTCTGAGTCCTCCATCAGTGCAATTCACAGCACATCCTTCAGGACGTCTGTGTTGTGGAGCAATATGCCAGACGCTTGTGAGTCTTTTCACAAGCTGTTGTTGAGCATGTGCTCAGCCGGGATTTGTCCATGCTGCATGCGGAATTTGATAGTGCCATGACTGAAACACGCCGCATCATGCATGGTTTTGCTGTGAGCTTAGAAGCAGTTCATACAGTGCCTTGCAGTTGGGCGCTGTACCTGGTCTGAGCGCATGGTGTCTTCGGAGTCTTCTGTGCAGACTGCTTGTGCGTTCTTATCTCTGTGTGTGATGTGCTGTTTTTTTTAGCAGTCTTCTGATGCTTGTGCCAGTGATTTGTGCGGGACTGTGATGAGCAGCAGAGATCCAACACCCTTTACCTGAACGAAGTTGGAGAAAACTTATCTGCATCCCTCATCGCTCTGAGTCCTCCATCGGTGCAAATCACAGCACATCCTTCAGGGCGTCGGTGTTGTGAAGCATTTGTTCATGCTACGCGCACAGTTTGGTAGCTCTATGTCTGAAACACGCCGCACCACGCATGGTTTGCTGTGGAGCTTAGAAACAGTTCATACAGTGCCTTGCAGTTGGGCGTTGTACCTTATCTGAACTCATGGTGTCTTCGAAGTCTTCTGTGCAGACTGCTTGTGCGTTCTTATCTTTGTGTGTGATGTAATATTTTTGTTTGGCAGTCTTCTCATGCTTCTGCCAGTGACTTGTGCGTGGCTGTGATGAGCAGCAGAGATCCAACACCCTTTGCCTGAACGGAGTTGGAGAAAGTTTGTCTGCATCCCTCATCGCTCTGAGTCCTCCATCAGTGCAATTCACAGCACATCCTTCAGGACGTCTGTGTTGTGGAGCAATATGCCAGATGCTTGTGAGTCTTTTCACAAGCAGTTGTTGAGCATGTGCTCAGCCGGGATTTGTCCATGCTGCATGCGGAATTTGATAGTGCCATGACTGAAGCACGCCGCATCATGCACGGTTTTGCTGTGAGCTTAGAAGCAGTTCATACAGTGCCTTGCAGTTGGGCGCTGTACCTGGTCTGAGCGCATGGTGTCTTCGGAGTCTTCTGTGCAGACTGCTTGTGCGTTCTTATCTTTGTGTGTGATGTGCTGTTTTTGTTTAGCAGTCTTCTGATGCTTGTGCCAGTGACTTGTGCGTGACTGTGATGAGCAGCAGAGATGCAACACCCTTTACCTGAACGAAGTTGGAGAAAATTTATCTGCATCCCTCATCGCTCTGAGTCCTCCATCAGTGCAATTCACAGCACATCCTTCAGGACGTCTGTGTTGTGGAGCAATATGCCAGATGCTTGTGAGTCTTTTCACAAGCAGTTGTTGAGCATGTGCTCAGCCGGGATTTGTCCATGCTGCATGCGGAATTTGATAGTGCCATGACTGAAGCACGCCGCATCATGCATGGTTTTGCTGTGAGCTTAGAAGCAGTTCATACAGTGCCTTGCAGTTGGGCGCTGTACCTGGTCTGAGCGCATGGTGTCTTCGGAGTCTTCTGTGCAGACTGCTTGTGCGTTCTTATCTCTGTGTGTGATGTACTGTTTTTGTTTGGCAGTCTTCTCGTTCTTCTGCTAGTAATTTGTGCGGGACTGTGATGAGCAGCAGAGATCCAACACCCTTTATCTGAACGAAGTTGGAGAAAACCTATCTGCATCCCTCATCGCTCTGAGTCTTCCATCAGTCCGAATCACAGCACGTCCTTCAGCACGTCTGTGTCGTGGAGCATTAGCAAGGATGCTTGTGAGTCTTTTGGCAAGCACTTGTTGAGTCCGTACTGGGCAGGGGTTATGTCCATGCTGCGTGCGGAATTTGGTAGCTCTATGTCTATGTCTGAAACACGCCGCACCACGCATGGTTTGCTGTGGAGCTTAGAAACAGTTCATACAGTGCCTTGCAGTTGGGCGTTGTACCTGGTCTGAGCTCATGGTGTTTTCGGGCTCTTCTGTGCAGACTGCTTGTGCGTTCTTATCTTTGTGTGTGATGTACTGTTTTTGTTTGGCAGTCTTCTCTGCTTCTACCAGTGACTTGTGCGTGACTGTGATGAGCAGCAGAGATCCAACACCCTTTATCTGAACGAAGTTGGAGAAAACTTATCTGCATCCCTCATCGCTCTGAGTCCTCCATCGGTGCAAATCACAGCACATCCTTCAGGGAGTCTGTGTTGTGGAGCATTTGTTCATGCTGCGCGCGGAATTTGATAGTGCCATGTCTGAAACACGCCGCAACATACATGTTCTGCCGTGGAGCATGGAAGCAGTTCATATCATGCATTGCAGTTGGACGACATACCTTGTCCGAGCTCATGGTGTCTTCGGAGTCTTCTGCGCAGACTGCTTGTGCGTTCTTATCTCTGTGTGTGATGTACTGTTTTTGTTTGGCAGTCTTCTCATGCAGTGATTTGTGCGAGACTGTGATGAGCAGCAGAGATCCAACACCCTTTACCTGAACGAAGTTGGAGAAAACCTATCTGCATCCCTCATCGCTCTGAGTCCTCCATCGGTGCAAACTCATTCAGGGAGTCTGTGTTGTGGAGCAATATGCCAGATGCTTGTGAGTCTTTTCACAAGCAGTTGTTGAGTATGTACTCAGCCGGGGCATTTGCTCATGCTGCGGGCGGAATTTGATAGTGCCATGACTGAAAGACTGTGGGGCATGGAAACAGTTCATACGTGCCTTGCAGTTGAACGGTGTACTCCGTCTGAGCTCAAGCTGTCTTCGGACCGTTTGTTCTTTCTTTTCTTTGCGTGTGATGTACTGTTTTTGTTTGGCAGTCTTCTCATGCAGTGATTTGTGCGAGACTGTGATGAGCAGCAGAGATCCAACACCCTTTACCTGAACGAAGTTGGAGAAAACCTATCTGCATCCCTCATCGCTCTGAGTCCTCCATCGGTGCAAACTCATTCAGGGAGTCTGTGTTGTGGAGCAATATGCCAGATGCTTGTGAGTCTTTTCACAAGCAGTTGTTGAGTATGTACTCAGCCGGGGCATTTGCTCATGCTGCGGGCGGAATTTGATAGTGCCATGACTGAAAGACTGTGGGGCATGGAAACAGTTCATACGTGCCTTGCAGTTGAACGGTGTACTCCGTCTGAGCTCAAGCTGTCTTCGGACCGTTTGTTCTTTCTTTTCTTTGCGTGTGATGTACTGTTTTTGTTTGGCAGTCTTCTCATGCAGTGATTTGTGCGAGACTGTGATGAGCAGCAGAGATCCAACACCCTTTACCTGAACGAAGTTGGAGAAAACTTATCTGCATCCCTCATCGCTCTGAGTCCTCCGTCGGAGCGAAGCTATGCGATCCGTGATTAGCACCTGGAGTTCGGAGTGTAGGCTGTGAGGTATTCTGCCGGCATATACTTTCATTTTTCAGAGCGAGTGTCTACGGCACAAGAGCCTCGGTACATGTTCTAATAGTAGTCCCGATATAATCCCCAACAATAGTCCCCACACCCATCCCCCCCCATTCCCCACTAAGAACCAGACAGTTGCTATCTGAAGGCGGAACCTACTGAAATTCATCTGCGCGTGGAGATGACTTCGGGGCTTCACGGGGGTGTTCTCCTGGTGGCTGAGTAGCCTTCAACCTCCTGGTGTTTATAGAATCCTAGCATAACTGACAAAGTTCACCCTCTTCTTCGGACTATGATACTCTAAGCCCCTAAGTTAAATTATGGAGGTCTGCAGAAGTAGCATACATAAAGAGATTTATAATAGCTCCTATTTATCTAGAGTGCGACTTGCTGCACTAACGACTGTGATTAGGACCTCTACACCTGGTTGGATGTGTAGCATGTCGGGCCGTGCTCACATGAGATCCAGAATAATTCGTGGCCTTACAGTGTCTCAGGTATCATAAAAACCGTCTCTGCCGAGTCCGTGCCCTGTGATTGGGGCATCGCGATGTTTTGGTGTGCCTTGGCAGCAGCCCAACAACCTCGAAGGAGGGTTTCGGTGCTTGTCTTCGTAGTTGTGGTCCTGGGACGAGCAGCGAGTGGAAACTGCGGGGATGTTGATCCCGCCGCCGTCGTGGTAGCAGTACCAGCAGTAGCCCTTGCCCAGTGGCAGAGGAGTACGTAGCAGCAGTACGAGATTGTGGTACTAGAGTATTCTGATGCTGATGTTGATCATTGTTATGATTATGGGAGTAGCAATAGCAGTCCCGGGAGTGGGAGTAGCAATGGCCGTAGTAGTAGCAGTAGTAGTAGTAGTAGTAGTAGTAGCAGTAGTAGTAGTAGTAGTAGTAGTAGTAGTAGTAGTGGTAGTAGTAGTAGCAGTAGCAGTAGCAGTAGCAGTAGCAGTAGCAGTAGCAGTAGCAGTAGCAGTAGCAGTAGCAGTAGCAGTCGCAGTGGCAGTCGCAGTCGCAGTGCCAGTGCTCGTGCTCGTGCTCGTGCTCGTGCTCGTGCTCGTGCTCGTGCTCGTGCTCGTGCTCGTGCTAGTGCTAGTGCTAGCGCTAGGGCTAGGGCTAGTGCTAGTGCTAGTGCTAGTGCTAGTGCTAGTGCTAGTGCTAGTGCTAGTGGTAGTGGTAGTGGTAGTGGTAGTGGTTGTGGTGGTAGGAGGAGTAGGAGTAGGAGTAGGAGTGGTAGTGGTGGGAGCAGCAGGAGCAGGAGCCGGAGTAGGCAAAGTAGTAGTAGCAGTAGTCGTGGTCATGGTTGTGGTCGTGGTAGTGGTAGTCCTCATCGTGGTATAGTAGCACTTGCAGTAGAACAGAAGGTCTTCAAATGTGGTTCAGAAGCCCCAAACCCTAAACCCCTGACTGGAAGCCCGAAGCTCAATTATATGGGTCCTATCGCAGCAGTGTCCTCACAACAAATTCATTGAACCACCCCTGTGCTACAGGCCTCTTCGCTGTCTCTGCGGTCGGCGTTATTGCGGCAATGACCGTTGGTATACAATACTACGGCCAACTGGAGTTCAGTTAATCTGGAGGAGCCTCAATGGCGAGTGACATACTTCCCTATAAGTCTCGTTGAAGCTGCGGTAGGTTCAACTTGTAAAACTCCATCTGGGCCGTTAGCCTACACGCCGGATGGACATTGGATGGGTTTGACGCCTCAAGCTGTATAGTCAGTTTCATGTCGCTCAGCTTCGTTTCTGTTCGTGGTGACCCTGAGCCTCGAAACCGATACACCGAACCCCAGCTCATCGAACACACCCCAATGTACGCTGATACTATACCCCTGAAAACTATATATACATATGCATACATGCATAAATATACATAGAAATATACAGATACATACAGACACATACATATATATATATATATATACACATGTATGTATATGTCTTGTATTGCTCGATATATTTATGTCCGAAGCCCAAAGCCTAGCTCAGCCCAGAGCTCAAAATCCAAGAAGCCCGTGCACGGAGCTTCGGGAAGAAACATCTCCAGGATCCCATGGATATTCAATGCGGATGCTTTTCCAAAATGTGATTCGGTGGTTGACTCTTCTTGGAGTCCCAGTCTGTCCGGGTAGCTAGACTACAGCACGGTGCTGTAGTAGACCCTAAGCCCGCCGAAACCCGTTAAACCCTAGACTCCAAAGCAACAGGCACGACTCCAGGATGCATCGCAGAACAAGCCATAATAGGAGATCCCCGCTCGGAAGTTGACAGCCATCTCGGACCAAAGCAGTCCAAAAAGGTTCTTCGGAAAAGGGACGTCGTTTGCTGAGTCCCTGGGGGGGGACCGGCGGCATAGGGTTTGCCATGCGAGGTCGCCTTTGGGGTGTGTGGATGCTGCCCGAACACTGCTCCATATCATGTCTTGAATGAGGTAGGAAAAGCACGGTGTGAGCACTTCGGATGGGCGATATGGGGTCTGGGCTGCCGGGTGCGCTGCTCAAGAGTTCAAGTCCGTAGAGGGGTGTAATACAGTATAGGAGCTTTCATAATGACCTCTGCTACTTTCGGTGTTCCTTACTATACTTATAGTACAATGTACACCCAGACACGACTCAAATTATTAGGGCCCCTATATAACAGAGCCCTGTGATGGAAACCCTTAACGGAACCTTTTGCAGGGTCCCTTTCAAAAGGAACCCTATTCGAATTTATGGCCGGGTCTGCTTCGCACTGGATCGTCAGGCCACAGTTACGATTGCAAGGATTGTAAGCCTACCTACAGTCTCCATTGTAGTTCCTTTTTTTGATTTAACAAAATATATAGTTAGGATCCCATAAGGTAGCCCCAAAGGAGGAACTACAATGGAGACTATAGGTCAGGGTCCACGTGCCCAAACATGTTTCCTTTAAGGGCTCCTGTAAGGGTTCCTGCAAGGGTTCTACAGGGTTAGGCTTTGGAGTTTAAGCGTCCGTCTACCCAACTAGTAGAGACTCTGGCCTTGAAGTAGTTCCTATAGTACTTTGGAGCCAAATCATATTCATATAACTATTTAACTATTTGGGCACATGGACCCTTAGGCTTACCCATCTCCCTTGACCCCTTAGTACATGGGGGTTCCAGAAGCCATTGGCTCAAACTTTGGTACATGTCTGGAAACCAAGCCTAACCCTAGCCCTGAGACTCTAAACCCACTCCGAACCCGTACGCGTTTCAACGCAGCCCGCTGATTTGTTGTTTTGGGGGTATGTTGGCACGAACCTCCTGAAACCTCACACCACATGATTACACAATGAACCGTGACCTTCTCTGCGGTAGGCCCTGAATGCGAAGCCTCTCGGCCCTGGTACCCAAGAGCCCCAAAAGCCCCAAGACTCCAAGCCCTGCAGCATTAAAGCCAACCCCTACCTACGAACCCTCAGCCCTCAACCCTCAACCTTAACCAAAAAGCCGAAAGGCCCAACACCCCCAGCAGCCCCTGAGCCCAAAAGTCAGATTCCCCCAGCGTGTGCCGTTATTCGCTGCACGAGGGGCCATGCGGCCAGAGGACGGGCAAGTCTTTGCTTTTGAAGTACACTAGGACCCAGAGTAGGGCCTTATTCCCTTTTTGAGGGTTTCGGTTCCCTTATAAGCCCCTTTAAACCAAAAAGGGCACCCTTTTTATTCCTAGGTTACTCTTGGGTCTAGGGGTTGAGCGAAGCCCTAAACCCGTCAGGCCCCAATCCCAAGGTCTAAAGGCTCTACACCCACGGCGCTAAGTGTGTGATATTGGCTTAGGATTTAGCGCAGCTGAGTTTGGGAGGTGGGCTTAGACATTCACAGCCACATGTCATATTCAATGGTTTTGGGCGCTTTGGGTTCGGGGTGTGTGTAGGACCTCGGTTTCGGGAATGGCTGCTGGCGTAGGGGTGAGAGCTGAAAGGTTTCGGGCATGGCAGCGCTGGTTACAGTTCGGTTAGGGTGAGTTTGTCACGAGGTGAGGGTGGTGTTCATTAGCAGCTTCAAACTACCCAAACCCTAAACCCTAACACCCTAAATCGTGAGCCCTAAACCCTAAACCCTAAAACCCTAAATCGTGAGCCACCACCACGACTCGACAGCCTCCCCACCAGTCGTACCAGGTTCCTGATGCTCTTAAGATCCAGCTCTCCCCAGGCCTCCCAGGTACCTTCAATATTAATTGGGTAGTTGTCAAAACTATGGTCCCTTTTTGGGTACCCTAAATATAAGGTGCCGTATTGTAATAAGGACCCAAAAAGGACCATAATATTGACAACCACCCAATTAGAGCGCGTATAGTCCTTATGAGTGGGTGTTTATGGTATAACAGGGCAGTTGGGTGGATTAGGTATGCTGCAGGTGCCTCAATGATTAGAAGAGGGTGTGCCGGAGACTAACTATAATGCTAATGATGGGAATAGTAGTCGTGTTGATGTCGTCGTGCTTGCGCTTTCCAGGGTCGTGTTGAGAAATTTGCTGGTCGCAAGACATGCATTTAGAGTATGGAGCACTGAGAAGTTGTATGCTCCTCTGATCAGTTGATCACGCTTCGAGACAGGACTGTCTGGTTCTTAGTAGGGAATGGGTGAATGGATGCCTATAATAGTCCCCATATAATCCCCTATATTAGTCCCCATAACCAATCCCCCATTCCCTACTAAGCACCAGACAGAGGAGCACCATGCAAGAGCTGCACAGAGTGCTTCCCGCTCGGGGCTTTCTCGCCCTGACGAAGCTGGGCTGCACCAGACAGGATTTTGTCTGGGAATTGGCCTGAAGCACAAACCTGAACCCAAAGCCCGCGCCGGAACCCTACACCCAGATCCTACGACTGACCTTAGGCCCTAAACTCTACAGAATTTAAAGATCCTAAACCCAACCCAAAGTCCCAAATAACGGTGGTGCCGCCCTCCTCAAGCGACCGGTCTTTGCGGCCCTGGCCAACAGCTAAGCCTAAATGGTCAAGCTACTTAATCATCGGTTCAGGGTATTGGGTTTGGGGCAAGTTTCACCTGTTCCCCCACATGATAATCTACAGAACGTCCACTGGGTCCACCCTAAAGTCAAGTACCTAGAGGTTGCTGGGTCTGTTGCACCCTTACAACCGTAAAGAACCCTGCGAAAAGAGTATTTATAGAACACTGATGGACGTACTCAGTGATTGCATGCAGAACTGGAGTACTGCAAGATAGCGTCTGAACTGCTTGTGCATTCGGAAGGCATTCCCAATATTTATTGTGCTTGGGTGACGTGCTAGCATCGCAACCTTTTACATGTAGGCCTCAACTTTGAACGCCGGAACCTCAAAACACACATCCCCAAATTCCTAGTACATAAACCTTACTATTACATCCTTCAACATTATATGGGTTACTGGGATTCTGGGGACAGCCATATCAGCGCCACCCGGTTCCTGGGGTTCCAGGGATAGCCACAAGGGTTTAGGGGTTTAGGGCTTCCATGCTCCGGCGCCACGCGAGGCTTTGCTGGGCAGTACAGGGACTCCTCCACTCCGTGCATGCCGCTCGGGAGCGGAATGATCTGGGCGTGGAGGGGATCGCGGGAAGGCGGGTTCAGAAAAGATAGTACCCCAACTAAGCCACAAGGCCCTAAACTCCTAAACCCAAAAACCCCTAAACCTCAAGCCATAAGCCCCCCCAATAAAAAGCCCTAAACCGGCCTAAACCCGTCAACCCCTAAACCTCAAACCATAAATAAACCCCCCAACAAAAAGCCACAAACCCCTAAACCCCTAAACCTCGACTGGATTGCTGGGTGAAAAAGGGGCTCAACAAATCACATAAACCCCCCAACAAAAAGCCTTAAACCACTAAACCTCAAACCATAAACCCCCAGCAAATGCCAAAAACCCTTAAACCCCCTAAACCTCAAAACCCTAAACCCCTAAACCCCTCAACTCATCTTGAGCCTTGAGGTCTCATCTCGCTTCAAGCCTCTTTCAGAGAGAGAGAGAGAGAGAGCACCATGCACTTTAGGGTTTAGTGGTTCAGGGTTTGGGTTTGGGTTTAGGGGTTCATGGTTTAGGGGTTTAGGGCTTTGGGGTTTGGGGTTTGAGGTTTAGGGTTTTAGGGGTTTAGGGTTTAGGGGTTTGGGTTGACTGGTTAGGGGTTCAGGGTGTAGGAGCTAAGAAGTAAGCTCGTGCGTGGAGGAAAGTCTACTCCAAAACCCACCGGACACAACTGCGACTATGTTAGACTACCCGAGAAGTCAAGACACCTGTATTAAGAACCCTAAACCCTAAACCCTAAGACCTTGCAAGAAGAGCGATTGAAGCGCTGGAGCACCTGGTAAACCCTACATGGAACTGATAAGCAAATTTCTTTACCTGGGCTTGAGAAGCCCTGAAACAAAGCTCGCGAAACTCGGTGCAAGACTTCCTAAACACTAAACTATACCCGAAACCCTCGACTGATTTACCCTGGTTTTTTTAGGGCTAAGATGCCTCCCAGGTGTCGGATGGCAGTCGAAAGCACGTGGCGGCGCGAATGGCCGAGGCGGGAGTAGCATTTGCTATCAGGGGGTCCAGGGGTTTTAGGGTCTCGGGGTCTGGAGGTTTTGGGGTTTACATGACTGGGGGTTATGGTTTGGGGTGCGAGGTGTTTAAACGGCAGGTTGTTTGGGTGAAACTGCTAGCTTAGGAAAGACAACCTGTTACATCCCCAAGCCCAAGGAAAGTTCCCAAATCCTATAGCCCTGAACCGTAGAATCCCCCAAGATGTGATGCTCAGGCCCCAAGCCCTCAGCCGGACACACCAGTCTGAAAAACCCACGTAACCCCTTCCTTTTTGAGGTATCCATGAGAGGAGCCAAGACACCCTCTAGATTACGATGCCGTTCTGTATTGTGCATGCCTGAGAAGAGAGGGTGTGGCATGCCTATAATTCAGACATTGAAGAAAGTCCCTAGGACGTTATGTAGTAAGTTTCGGCTCGAAGTTGTTTTGCACAGCATTAATCCTGAAACTCAATGAGCTTCTGGACCCCAAAAGCCTTACGGCGAAAACCGCAACAACGCTCTCATGCCTACACCAACTCCAGCTGAATGAAGCAGGCGCAGCGCCGCTGTGCCCGCTTCCGTGTCGTCGACATCGGGGCGGCCATGAAGCTTTGAGAATATGGGGGGGGGGGGGTTCCAGAAAGAGGGGATCCTAATATAGAACCCCAAACTGTAGGGACCTCAAAACAAGGTACTCCTAATCGTACCCTAAATAGTAAATAGTAAGGACCTACAAATAAGGTACCCCTAATTCTTGAGAACCCCTATATGGCGTTTTTATAGGTCTATAGGTTTAAGAGCTTTGGCAGCCTTCCGGGTAATTGCAGGACCCTAGCAGGTTTAGGGCCAGTTTCGGGTTAGGAGGACGACGTGTTCAATCTGTACAAACCTAGCTGGAGTGCTTCCAGACATGGTGAAGGTTCTACTACCCCTGATCCGATACCTTCATCCCCAGACATACTTTTGCTACTGTTGACAGTTTGCTTATGCACGTGGATGTTGCCGAAGTCACCCGATTGAGCAAGAGCGTACAGGGGCTGACTAAACGTTAGATAGCGACTATCCAGGAAAGTTCAGGTTGGCTCGCAATGTCGATTGTTCCGTTTGCTGCTGGTGGATCTGCGTCTGCAAGAAGCAGGAGTGAACAAATCTTGTATGCAGTTGCTTCAAGAGAACAGGCAAGTCAACATGTTTGTCCAGAGCCCAGCCCTTCAGCAGGCGATCGAAGCCCAGGCAGAGGCCAGCCATACAGCACTACTTGCCCAAATCTACAATGACGCGAATGCCCGTATCAACGACCTTGAGGTCCACTTGCAGACAGGAGCCGGAGCCACCTCTCCTTCGTCCGCGGACGTACCGAGGTACGGGTGGTGCAACTGAGCAGCGAGAACAACTTCTACAACAAAAAAAGTCTAAGGGAAAGATCAAACGCCCAACTTGTCCGCGCACGGCTAGCATGCAGTGAGGTATTGTAGGATTGGGAAATGATAAGACCCACCTAAACACCGAAAGCCTACCGCTCCAACGGCTTGTGTAAGGACGAATCAGAATGAGGAAGGTTATGTGTCTTGTGGCTTAAGGTGTAACTGCGGCTTTTGGGTACCGGTGTCCACATGTCCAGGCTAAGACTTATTGAAGTCCTACGGTGCCCTCCAGAACTCGCTGTGTCAAGCGCTAGGCGAACTTTCGAGTTTCAAGAAGGCGTCATATGGGTCCTTATGCGAAGCTTTCGAGCTACTCGTGTACCAGTTAGCGGCCGTTGACCCTGTCCTCGTTAAGAGGGTGTGTTTAGTTAGGGTGTGGGGTGGGGGACGTTGTTACATCTTTTCTGTTTGCCTGTTCGTGGGCACCAGACAGAATAATATCATTAATTAGAGTGCAACGAAAGTTCGGGGTAGACATGGGAGCCTTATATACACCTTACCCTAAACCCTAAACCGTTTGAAGCAGCTCATCTCAACCAAAACCGGAGACCCTCGACCCCTAACCCGAATCTCCAACCGAGCCTTCATTCCCAAAAGCCTAAGCTGCAACTCGGAACACCGAAACAACCTAAAGATTAGGGTTTGGGGTTTGTGGGCCGAGGGACAAAGCCCACAGCAAGGAATCCTTGGACCCTCGAAGTGGCAGATGCCATCGCCGATAGACGCCCGACTGAACCGGTCGCATTTTCGTCGCGGGACTCAAAGCATAGGGGGCCAAGGCTAAGGCTAAGGCTTAACACTCGGGGTTTAAAGCTTCTACACCCTAAACCCTAACCCGTGCGATTCGGATGTTTTTGGGTGTTTAATGTTTTTAGGCCCATATAATGCTAAGGTTTCGTCGTTTCGATGATGCGGGAGTCGATAGGGAGCTTCGGATTTGGAGTTCGGACTTCTTTGAGTCTTTCAGGGCTCGGGATTTAGGGGTTTGGTGCTTCGGGTTGACGATCTATCGGCTTTCCGATTCTTGGTAGTACTAAAGTTTGTATAAAGAAATTCGATTTTGGATCAAACCTGGTAGGATCCCCGTTTGGGTGGTGTTGTTGTTGGTGTTGGTTTAGGGTTTAGGGCTTAGGGTTGGCAGAGTGGGGAGGGCGTGTGTGTTGTAAAATGTTCACGCTCATCCAAACTGCCTTAGCCTACGCTTGCTCCGTCCCAGGCCTTGCACTCACACACTCGGCAGCCCTAGCAAGTCAAAGTCAGGCAATTATTCTAGACCCTCAACCTGTGAAGTACCCATAAAGGGAACTCCAGAAAGTTGGAATATGGTTTCAGGGTAGGATACCCTATAATTTACCATAATGGGTTTAGGAGAATCATATTCCAACTTTCTGGCTTTTACCTTATACTAGAACGTAAGGGTTCCATGGTAGGAGTTGCTATGCTGCTTTTTTCGGGAAAGGCCCCAACAGGAACCCGGAGCAGCAGTGTCTTTGTTCTTTTTACCCCAAAGGTACCCATATACTAGAATGTAGGGGTTCTTTGGTCGGAATTGCTATTCTGACTTGGGAAAGTCTCCCCCATAACGGTAGTTAGGAGCCTTTGGGAACAGATCCCTTGAAACTGTCGAGCCTGAGCCACGCCAACTTCTGAAGCGATGCATCCCGAATCCCTTCCTAGATCCGGACACCTGCAGCAAAGACCGTAAACCCTACCTCAAGCCCAAACAACCTATATAGCTTCTAAGGGTTCCTGATCATGGCTTCGATGTCTAATTCCGGTCGGTTTTTGGGCCAGGTGGCTCTGCATTGTCATGTGTGCTGTTGTACATCGGTTAAAAAACATACATTGCAATGCACAGCATCCCAGCCCAAACGCCCACCTTTTGAAGGTAGGTAGGTCTTCGCGGGGTTCAGATCCAGTGAAACCCTGATGGAAAAACGGGGTCCGTGAGGCGTGGGCACCCGAGCCACAAGAACACCTGAAGCCAAACTGGATTGGAGTTTCGGGAAAGGTTGTGAAACCCTTATGAGACAAGACAGGCAAAAGACACAGCGTCAAACGCCTTTTGGTAGAATCTATAGCAAGCCTGCTCAGACACTGCACTCAAAGAGAACGTTTCCCCTGCTCTGCAGGTACTGTCCAGTTTTAGTTTAAATGCATAACTATATAAACATGACATGAAGTCCTGCCTCACGCCCCATGAAACCCTCTAACATCACCCAAACAAACGATTCACCAGGAACGCCGGAGGTCGTTGAGGATTGCTTTCAGGAGATGTGTTCGTGCGCTGGTGTCTTTTTAGGGTTTAGGTGTCCCAGATTAGCAGGTTACAGGTAATATATAAATCGTGGCCTAGGGTTGCTTTAGGAGTGGTTTTCGTGTTAGTTGTATGGGTTTCCAGAGCTTTATAGCGCAAAGGCGGCATAGAATGTCGAGTCCCAAGTCGAGCGCAGTAGGATCCTGCTGTTCAGGGCTGTTTGGCTCTAGTACCGGAAACTCCCATTCGGCGACGGGGTGAGGCGGGGAGCCATCAGGGCTTTGGTGTTCCGAAACAACGCCCATCTACAACGCCCATACAGAAAACCCTTTTCGCGCAACACCATTAAATCCGATCAGTGGGTTGTAAAAGTTGTGGCCCATTGTATGGTGGAGGCTCACCATGAACACAAAGACACCCCGAACTGTTGGATCCTTCCCGGTCAAACCCTACCCACTAGCTTGAACCTGCTAAGCCAAGAGCTCTGAACCCTGAATCTTGTTATTGGTTTAAGGTTCAGGGTTTAGGGTTTCGCCAGGACTCCGTATTCGGTGCCCAAGAAACAAACTCTCAGGGGCCTTACAGGTTTGGGATGTTCAGCCCGTACTTCGAGGTTCATGGGTAGCTATAAGTAGGGTTATAAGTCCCCCAATATGACAACTATAGTTACCCTATAACTACCCATGAACCTCCAAGTAGGCTTCCCATACGCGAGGAAAGCTGTGAGGCGTACACCTGATTCCCAAACCCTGAGTTGACACCCAGAATTGTGAGAAGGACAGCCGAGCTGTCTTGCTTGCGGTTGCTTTGAAGTTAATACTAACGCCCTGAAGCCTCACACACTACAAATCTTGAAATCTAACCCACCGAACTAACTAAAGCCTAAAGCACCAAATCCTGAAAACCTAAGCCGTAACACCCTAATCCTAGAAACCCGCAACCCAAATCTTGTTGGTGGGCGGGACGGGGGTTGAAAACTTGATCTGAAGGAGCTGGAGAACGCAGCACAAGTGGCTCGATTCTGCTGTCGTCCCTCGGAGGGTTTGGGGGCTTGGGGTTTAGTGTCAGTAGGGCTTGGTGGTTTTGGGGGTTAGTGATTTAGGGCTTGTGGTTCAGGGTTTTGGGGTTTTGAGTTTAGGGGTTTAGGGCTATACATGAGTTTTTCTTGGATTGAATGTTTGAGAGAGCTTAGCCTTTGTTGGTTTGAGGTTTAGGGCTTAGGGTTTTGGGGTTTTGGGTTGAAGGGTTTAGGGTTTAAGGCTATGCATGAGTTTTTCTTGGTTTGAATGTTTGAGAGAGGTTAGCCTTCGTTGGTTTGAGGTGTTGGCTTCAGGATTGTGTGGCTTTTGTTGTTCTACGAGCCTGTGGTGTGGATCGTGGCTGTTGAAACCAAGCAAGAATATTCTTCTGGTCAGCATAAGTTTTCAGAAAGTTTTGGAAGCCAATGTGCGTAAAAGCATCTAAACAAGGCGCCGCTGCAGAGAATATCAGCACGAAGCAGATTGAATGCTGAGGTCTACATATTCGCGGACTTGGACCTACAGGTTAAAGTTGCCTGCGTCACGCCGAACCCATTGCTGCCCTCGAAGTCTTTACAAACCCGTCGGCCCAAGACCAATGCCAGTATACAGCCCTTGTTCCTGAACGTTAACTATGTTTGTCGCAGCCCAAAATCCTCTTCTCATCATGAACGCCCCTAGCTTATACCCTTTCTCAACCCCTGAAAGGTTTAATTACAACTAGTTCGGACACATAATTTTAATTTCTTCCAAGTCTTGAGTCTTGAGGTCCATATATTAAACTTTAACTTTTGCCAAGCCTTTAGGGTCGCCATGGGTTCTGAGTATGCCTGAGGGGTGTAAGACACGCCTTTTCCACGAGAGATACCTCTGTCCTCAGTTGGAAAAAGGCGTTCAAAAGAGAGCAAATTCAAGATCGAAGCAGAAGGTGCCGGCAGCGGTGCTCAGATCCGCGCGTCCGGCGAGGGCCATGGGGCTCCGATACTGCAATTCTCAGGGGTTTAGGGTTTAGGGTTTAGTGGTTTTGGGTTTTAGGACTGTTTAGGGGTTTAGGGTCTTACGATTTTGGGTTTAAGGCTTTAGTGGTGTTAAAAAGGGTTTAGGGTCTAGGCGTTTGGGGTTTGGGGTGTTAAGCTTTAGGGTTTTGTTTGTCTTTTTTCTCGGCGTCCTTGTAGGGTTCAAACAGGGTTTCTACTGATGCTGCCGAGGTTTCATAGGGGGTTATAGAGATTTCTTTTGATGTTGAACAGATTCTCCATGAGATTTCCACGGGCCCTAGATGGGCTGTTAATGTCCACTGTTGAAGCCATGGCACTAGGGTTCTATATGCCTCCAAGCCGAATACTGCACCTTGAGACACTTAATTAATGTTCTTTTGGCCCTTAGATGATTTAGAGTGCAGTGCAGGGTGGGTGAGGGTGGTCTTTATGCAGGAATGCTCGAGGCCCTGCAGTTGAGGGCTTAAGGTTTGTGGAAGTGGAGTGTCAATACGTGGGGGTGTTATCTATACGGCGGTGCAGACTTGGGGGTTTGAGGCCCTAAACCCTAAGCTTGAAACCCCAAACCCCAAACCTTATAATACCTAGACCCTAAACCCTAAACAAGAACTGTACTGCTCGGAGCCCAAGGCAAGCCACCAGGTCATACCATAACCCCCTTTGTAGGGTTGCAAAGCCTCCTCCGTGCTATGTAGAAAATTTACCAACTGTAAATCATCTGAAGTTAGGTACTCGTAGGGCCAGGGGTGCGACCCATCAGGTAAGCTTGCAACCCACAAGAAATCGCATTGCTAGCTTCGGCCTAGAAGCAATTTTCAGCTTTCAAAAGCAGTGCGAGCGGAGAGCTGAGTGAGGCCAACATCAGTTGTTTCACAGATGACTTCACCTATGGCAGATGCTGCAACTGGGCATTTAGAGGTTTAGGGTCAGCCGGCTAGATCGTAGGCTTTCGGGGGTTTCGGAATTGAAGTGAATGGTTGGGAAGGTGGGGGGTTGCGAAAGTTTCAGCAGCCCCACGCCTCCATTCCCTTCCCCACCGAAATAGCCACCAGCAGTGCGCCTCCAGTAAAATGGGTAGGCAGACCGTATGCGGCATGAACGAACTTGCCTTGCTGCAGTTTGCGAGCAAGCTGTAAGCCCAGGCTTTTCGGCCTACTCTTAGCCTGAAACACTGTGGCCTCAGGAAATACCGTTCTAGAGTTGGCACAGCCTTTCACAAAAGGTGGCGGCATCCACGTCATTTCGCCTTTCCTCAAACACTTCAAGAACCACATTCGGGGTTCAGATCTGCCACAAAAAAAGCAATATTTTCCATTCCTTTTCGAAGCCAGACGGGACTGCGGAGTCATGTACGTGGAGTCTCAGTGTAACGCCTAATTCCTAATTCTATAATGTCCCAAAGCGATAGCAGCAGGCATGGTTATTTGATTATGCAGTAAAACGGATAGAATGATATATATATATATATATATGTGTGCTATACACAAACATGTGTGTATATTTATATCCACACATGCATATTTTATGTGAAGTATCTCTCTCTCTCTACATATATATATATATATATATATATTTCTGAGAGAGAGAGAGAGAGAGAGAGAGAGAGAGAGAGAGAGAGAGAGAGACCTTGACATCAGGCAAGAGCCAGGAGCCCCGGCAACTTCTTCGGTTTACGCTGGATGTCAACAAGGCGGGCCCCACCACTGAAACAGCTGAGAGAGTGTTGGTATTGGTTTGAGGCTTGGGCTTTGGACTATCGGTTAAGGCTTTGTGGATATTATATCCAGGCCGTTCTCGAGCTTTGGATGATGTTATACTTTGAGATGTTGCAGGGTTTCCTGCATATATGAGGTTTCGTTGGGTGGCGTTTGGAGACGTAAGAACGGCCCAACCGCAGAACCATCCCGAATAAAGATATCATGGTGTTGGATGTCGGGTGTAGAACTTGCAAACTGGATGCCTCTTCGGTTGGTTTAAACGTAGATGCAATCTTACATGTCCCATGTACACATGCAGCATAAGGTACTTTGGCAAGTACAGTTACTGCACAGGAAACCCTTTCAGGCTGATCCACATATTATCTTAACGAAAATCGGCGTGCCCATGAACCCTTAAAGAAGATGGGTTTAGCTTTAAGTTGAGTTCTTTGCAGGTGTGGTTTTGCAAGGATCATTTGCCAAGTCAAGGGTTCGTCATGTTCTTCTGCACTGGGCATTTGCGTGTCATGTTCTGCTAGACACAGACCAAACCCTGAAGCCCCCGAACCCATGCCCTAAACCCCCAACCCCCAACCGTAGTTCAATTCTGACACCCTACACACTGGTCCAGTACTAACCCGAAACCCAACATTCTTGTGTTCAAAGGTTTCGTTACACCAGTTATACAAGGGCATTCTATTCTATCACTGAAAACAGGTTTGGATCGCCAAGGTATGAGTTCAAACGACCCCCGCAAACTCTTAACTCCAAAGACAGGGAGCATATTGGCAGACACATACGACCCTAGAGGACGGAATTGCCAACAGTTCTTTGCCTTCCAGATCACTCTCATAAGTATAGTACCCTGAACCCGACACCCCAAGTCACCTCTGTTGCTTCCAGGAGTCCGCATGGGGCCCTCTGCTGCAGCACGTGCCCTCGAAACTGATTCAGACGCTAGGGATTCAGGCTACTTTCGCGAATCTCAGGTGCCTTGTTTTTAGTAGCTCGTTTGGACCCTTGAGGATAGTGATTGACTAAGGTCTCCAAGTTGGCGCTTTTGCCCTTTTTGTGATCTTAGGTTCCCTGCAAACATGCCCATCACCAAAAAGGGAGCCCTTTGTATTCCTATGTTACAGGGGATCCTCGCACAGGGTTCGGTGCTTTGGGGTCTTCGAGTTGAAGATTTCAAGGGTTCAGCGATTTAGGGCTTTTTCCGGCCTATAGTCTAGGGTCTAGTATAAGGTTCTGTCATGTTCATTCAGAAGTTTGCGGCTATGGGTTTGGGGCAGTTCAGGAAACTTCAATCGTAAACCTAGAGCTTCAGGAGTGTAACTACTCAGGGACCGCAAGATGTCACCACTAGGCTAGGAGTGGCCTCACTCCAAAAACTGGGTTCTTACTCCACACTTGCATGTGTCTCGTTGACCTGCTCCTTCAAGGAGCCATTATGCAAAAGAAGTCTATACTTTTTCTCCCTGGTTACTTAGTACTTCAAAGTCCAGATGATGAACACCCCTGATTAATGAAGCCCCCTCTACTTTCAGCAGCTTCGCTTGCGTCTCCGCATGATAGGTATTGCAGCGGGATCCGAATATGATGCCCCGCTTAAGAAACGGGTTGATTAATCAAGAAGTCTACTTCGATGAACCGCAACCACTGTCTATATTCATCTCAGCACAATTCTACAAAACAGCCTGGTACCCTCTTTAAGTCCTTCCTACATGCATTCCAAACCCTGTCAACACCCCATTCACCCCTACATTGCCCTGCAACACTGTAGGTCTGAGCGCCATGTCTGTGCAGTTGTCAAAATTATGGCCCCTTTTTGGGTCCCTAGTATACTACGGCACCTATTATTTAGGGTACCCAAAAAGGGACCCTAATTTTCACAACCACCCATGTGAAAACCTATCAAACCCGCCTTCTACTGTGTATACCTCAAACCTGGGTTTGGAGTACCATACTTGAATACTTTTTTTGGTACCTGTTCCTTAAAGGAACCATTCTGAAATGAAAGTCTATACTTTTTCTCCCTGGCTACTTCAAAGTCCAGCAAAACACTGCTATCGGCTCTCAGCACTTCTTACGGCCGCCGAGTTTGAGAAGCCCTGCAACCGTGCCTTGAACTCGAGACCTGTAAAGCCCACTGAAGCCCTGAAGCCTAGGGCTATTGTTCATACTAAAGAAACCTAAATGCCCTAAGCTACACCTTCAAACCCCCAAAACTGAAACTCTGCCCCCTGACACTTTGAACCCTTTACCCTAATTCGCCCAGGTCGAAGTGGCTGGCAAGTTTGACTATGCGGTGGTCTCCCATGTCGTGGAAGATGTGATGAACCCTGAGATGCTTGATGCACTATCAGGCTTGCTTAGAACTACCTGGAGCGCTTAAGGGTTCAGAGCTTTCTTAAAACTAGGGTGTACTATCGGGCTGTCTTGGCACAGAGTTTTTTGGTTTTGGGCTCAGGGTTCAGGGTTTCGAACTCTCTTAATGGAATTTGGGTTTTGGGATTGAAGCTTTCTTAGAAAGGGGGGGGGGTCCCTTCAGGGATCCTTACAGCAAGGACCCAGTATTTCTATAGGTTTCTATAGGGTGCTTGGTCTCTTGAAACTCGATAAAAGCGTGTGAAAGACTACAAGCGATATTCGCTAAACCTTCAGGGCTTTCAGGGCTTAGGGTTTACGGCTTCCTACCATGACCATGGTATCTTCGTTGACCGGCATTTGTCGGCATCCCCTTTCACTAAATCTTCAGGGCCCCTACATGATGCTTGACTTCGCGCCAACCAACAGCGGAAACAAACTCTACGCCTTCGATGATGCACAGGCCCAGCACCGTAGTCGTACATACCCCTGAACCCTAAGCTGAAATCTAGGTCCTCCAACCGCCGGAAACTACCAGGGTCCTAAGCCTACATACTCCGAGCTCCACAAATCCCTTTACAACCCTATCGAGCCTTCTAAACGCTTAAGCCTACCCCTCCAAGGACCTCATAGTTAGGGCCCTAGACCCCTTAAAGACCCCATAATAAGCCCCTAAACCCTAAACCATTAGAAGCCTAAACCCTAAACCCTATAGATCCCTTTAAAGGGACCCTTAAAGGAACCCTAGCTCCTAAGTCCCATGGATCCTTTAAGTACATGCCCAGGATCCTGATCCAGATGCTGCCCCGAGTGGCCGAGCGCGGCTACGTCTCCATGCCCTCGAAGTTTACCGAACTCCGGAGGGGCGTGGAGGTTTGGCACGGGCTCCTCTAAGCTAAGGCCCGTTAAGGTTTAAGGGGTCTATACTGGTATTGTGGGTTACCACAAAGGTTCTACAGAGTGCTGGAAGTGTTTCCCTAAATCTCACTCAGTCCCCAGCATTCTGCAGTTGTGCTCATGATTGCTTATTCTGATGTCCGCATATATCCCAATCGTAACACGGTTGCTTTGTGGCGTTCAGGTTTGGGTTCATACAGGGTTTGGGTTCAAAGTTGAAAGCTTTGTCCTTGAAGCCGCTAGGCTTTCTTTAGGCGAGTTTAGAGAATTCCTGGACCGTCGCACTTACTTGTCTGGCTGCCGTCACCCAAGTCGTTTCCAAACCCGCACTCTGCACTAGCACAAAGTCAAAATCCAAAAGGGCTATGCTCCAGTTTCTGGTTCAGGAGCAGGTGACAAGTGCACTTCCGGTCTTCTGCACTGGTTCGTGATTGGTGGGCCTTCCGTTACACCGGGAAAATTAGAAACTAAGTCCGGCAGACTCAGTCTCGCTCGTTGCGTTGCTGAAGCAATACTTTAGAATCCACGACGAAGATTCTCCAAAACAACAGATGTATGTCTGCCGCTATGTGTAGTCTTCAGTGCCACGTAGAGTGCTCTGGCGGAAGGTAGAGGCATGACCGGATATGAGTGCTTTCTTGAAAGTGTGGAGCTTTCAAAGGAGAATCTCGCAAGCCCCCGATGTTGAACAGCTTGACATGTATAGGTACTCCCTGGTGCAAGCATTTTCCCAGCGTCCTACACAGCTCACAACCCTAATCTAAGCATTGAGGCCCCTACATTAACCTAAGGGTCCAAGTACTTAATAAGACTTAACAACCATATACTCTCCTGAATATTGAGCTACAGAGCCACTATCCTGAACCCGCTGCCTTCTTATTGGGTCCTTTGGACCCTTAGGGTTGCCTGCGGGAAGGGCTACGGACCCCATCGTGGGCACATCCACCACCGCTGGATCGGCACCGTGCAGTCTGGGATTCTCATCCTTGTTGTCACCATTGCTTCATTGTAAAGTGGGCTTCTTCAGTTCTCTGCCGTTTAGGGCAATTAATGGCTATTCCTTTCTTTCTGTGGCATTGTGATAGAAGCAGGCATCCAGAAAAAGCAAGAACAGATGCTTCGAGCAAGGTCGTTTCTTCGGGGCACGCGGCGTTCATGGAAATGCTAGGGTAGAGGTAGTTTTGTCTTCGTGTTCAGGATGTGCAGTTTCCCTTGAAGCAACCACGCCCAAACAGAGAGAGAGAGAGAGAGAGAGAGAGAGCCTTAATCGGAAGACCGCGTTACAAGTAGGTTAGCTGCATGCAGATGTCAACAGGTATCGTTTTTTATGTTGTGTGTGTTGGGTGCCATGCTCAGATATCCAGAAGAAGCACAAGTACATATTATGCTGGAATCCCCGAAGCTCCGAGACTCTCGGTCCCAAAAACTGCTGCGTTTCCCAGGAAGCTCGTGCTGGTTCCGAAACTGTCCTTCCTAGAAACCGTCCAGGGGCCCGTCGACAGAGCCGCGCGGCTGGGTTTAGGGTTGAGGATGGCGGATGTATAGTTCCTGGGGTTGAGGGAAGGGCGCCTGGGCGTGCTTTCGGGTGGATTGGGGGACAGAGTGGCTGAGATAACGATTGTCGCTACACTTTGGCGACCCCTAAGCCTGCGCTAAGCCCTAAACCCCTAAATTCCTTACACCCCATAAACCCAAAAGTCTAACCCGCTCAACCCCTAAACATGCATGCCTTCTTCGGGTTTTCTGTAGCCTTCTGAATGGCAGAGGTCGGGGAAGCTTTGACGGCGGACTCTATCGATCTGAGCTTCGAGTGGGCCGCTGGGAAGGGTTAGGATTAGGGTGTTTTGGGGCTTGGGAGTTAAGGGTTTTAGGGTTTAGGGGTTTAGGGGGTCAGGATTAAGATGTTTTGGGCTTGGGAGTTAAGGGTTTTAGGGTTTAGGGGTTTAGGGGGCCAGGATTAGGGTGTTTGGGTTTGGGGGCCCGGGGGTTTGGGCGTTTCGGGCTTAAGGCTGTAGGGCTTAGGGCTTGCGGTTTAGGGTTTAGGGTTTCGTATCTGGTTTAGGGTGTTTAGGGTTTGGTAAAGTTTAGGGTTTTGGACCATTTTCGGGAGCTTGGAGGTTGGGGTCGAGGGTGTTGAGGGTCTAGGGCCTCAGGATTATGACTCAGTGTTCGTAATCGTCATCAAGCATTGATACAGAATCTGGAGGCATACCGCTCTTCTCCGTAGTAATCGCTCTACTTTCCCCTGTTCTCGTTCCTGTCATGTTGAAGAAGTTCTAGTCGAAGATTCTGAGACAGGTGAGTGCTGCTTTTGTCGAGCCCAACACGGTTCACCGATACCACTGACCTGCGAGTTACACGCATACCCGACACCCAAACCCGTTCAGGGTTGTGTGGGGACTTATGATTCGCGACTGCGTGGCACCAGCCCAGCCAGGCACGGATTGATCGTAGAGCCCACGCCAAACACCCTGGCCCCCTAAACCCTCAACCCCTAAACTCCCCTCAACCCTTAACCCTAACTTGACCTGATTATACGAAAAAGCCATGCCCGAAAAGCCCGTTGCCGCATTTATCCAAGGAGGGCGACCTCCCTTTTGCTATTCTCAATGACGGCTTCGTGGGGCCCACACCGATCCACGTGACTCGCAGAGTTCGTACGAATGCTTTCTGTTGGCGATGTTGGGGGGGGATCTGTGGATTCTTAGACCGTGCTAAACCCTAAACCCTGGCCCCAAATCCCTAAAACATTGCCAGAATCCCCAAACAACGGTCGGCTCTTCGCCCACTGCCTCAGCCGAATCGGCATTCCACCTACATAACCATGCAGGAGGAAATGAGACGTCAAACCCACAACTTGAAACTGGACGGCTGAAGCACGCAAACCTAAACCCGAAGGCAATCCTTGGACATGCTTCCAAGGGCCTTGGGCTTCGAATTTGATCGGGCACGATGCTAGCAGTAGACTATGAGTTTGTTCAGGGTGTACGGCCGCCAAAAATTCTGGGGCTTGCCGAGCTTGGATGTCGGAACATGTCCACTTCGATAGTTCTCTAAATTAGGGTCACTTTTAGGGTTCTTTTTATGCTATTGTTGGGTCCAAAAAGAGACCCTGATTTAGAGAATTACCCACATGTCAGCAGTTCAGGTGATGCAGATGTATGCAGACACCTTCCAGACGCAGGACGATGCGCCATGGCCGTCGTTGTACAGTTTGAGAGGCTTAGTCTCAGTCTTAGTCTTATGCTCAGCCGCAGTCTGGGTCGTAGCCTGATCATTAGCGGTTGCGTCAGCCCGACTTCGTCGTTGTCGGGTCGTAGTAGTAGCAGTAGCAGTGGCAGCGGCAGTAGGAGCAGCAGCAGCAGCAGTCGCAATTAGTCAACTTCCGGTACTGGTACTCGTTACTAGCGGTAGTCTTAGTACGACAATAAGAACAACGCCAAGGACAACGGCAACGGCAACAGCCATGACAATGATGATAACAGCTTTTGCAAGAGGAACAACCAACCACAACCACAACAACAACAACGACGACAACGACAACGACATCGACGACAAAAACCAGCGACAGCAGCACCATCAGCAACAACCACAACAACATCAACGACAACTGCAACAACGGCAACAACAGCAGCAACGACAACAACTGCTTCTGCTTCTGCTTCTGCTTCTGCTTCTGCTGCTGCAACTGCTACTGCTACTGCTACTGCTACTGCTACCGCTACTGCTACTACTACTACTACTACTACTACTAAGCCCCTTGGCTCCGCCAGGTTGAGAAAGAGAGATGTTGTCGAAACAGCGGGACCCTGCCACCCTTAACAGTAACGGGTGCACTAGAAGGTCTGAGTGCCTCAACCTCAACACGGCTGTAGGCTGCATGATGGCTGTGCTTCTTGCCTGTTTGATTCCATCTGCCCCACCATGGCAACAGGGCTCAAACTTTGTGCCACAGTGTCCTAATTGGACAGCATCCAGCCCGTGTGCCTGGCCCAGCACTCAGCATCCGCAGTCCCTCTTACCCTTGTGGCCAGTTGCTAGGTGCACTCCAGAGCAGCTTTTTCCGAGCGCCGCCTTCTGTGCTCAAGCCTTGCTGTTGCATAGCCCGACCAGCCCAGGATGTCACCCAAGGAAGCACGGCGAGGTAACCCGTCGAGGTCGCGATCTGGAAGGCCAAAAGCCAAAGCAACAGTGGCTCCGGAGTCCTCTTCATCTGATAGCCCACCGAGCCCACCGAGCTCAGGCGAGGAGGCCACTGCTCCACCGGTTGCTACCACAAGTGCTCCAGCAGGGCCACCCCCCCCAGTGCCGGTCAACAGGCCAAGAGGCAGCGTTGGATGTGCCACAAGTAAGCCCGCGGGGCCGCCCCCGCCGACTCCGGCATCCTGCACGTCTCTTCCGACAACACCGGTGCAGGCCTTTGCTGCCATGGCTCCAGGGGGTTTACCAGCAGGTGCTCCACCAAGCACAGGGCCTATCACTCTTGCAATGGGGGCTGTTCCCACGCTCCCATCGCCTACTACGACCTTGCTGCCTCCTCCGACTGCACACCCAGCAACGAGTGTCAATGCAGCGGAGGGAGTTTCGGGTACACCAGCTGGACACGTGCAGCAGCAGCCTGCCACCATCACGACCAAAGTGGCGGGCTGGACTTTCACGCTCACGGTTAGGCCACCGAGTTGAGCCACAAGACACCAGGTCTTATGGTGGCCAGGCACGAGCTTTCTGCAGAGATAGCACCACAGGTGCGAAGGACAGCTGTCAGTTCTCTGCCGTCTCTTCCTGTATGCAGACTTGCCGTTTTGTGCCCAGCAGCCTCTCGAGTTGGATTCACAAAAGACGTGCTGTCTTTGTCAGCGTGCTAGTACTGACACCTCCTTGGAGCCAACCGTCACTGCTAGCTTGGACTATCCTCCATGCTGACTGTAATGCCCAGGCCGTTCTCATGGCAGACCTCGATGACCTCGCGAAGGCTCCAGGTCAGCGGCGCCCCCCATCTGCACTTGGAGCACCCATGCCTAACGATGCTCGCCACAGGTATCAGGTCCCTCGAGACGCCCACTTCGGTGTCCTTCCTGCCCATCACGGGGCTTGGATCTCAGTCTTGCTGCTGCAACCCGTGATCAGCCAACATGAGACTCTGCCGTGCTCTTGTATGCATCTTGCAGCCTCACCATGTGGATACCGCGTGTGCCTGCAGCTCTCCACAAACCAAGCCTCATTGAAGACTCTGGAAGAGTATGTGGTACCCCAGCAGCCTGCCACAACTTCTGCCCGCTTTGCATCCCTTAGGGCTGGGAGACCTCTTGCAGAATACTCGCAGGTATCTACTCCACAACTTCTTAAGTCAAAGGACTACTCTGAGTTAGCGTGCCCTACCTGTGCCCTTCGAGGGATCATGGAGCCACACTGGCAGGCAGCACTCGTCCCGCTTACAGTGGGGACCGAAGTAGAGGTGATCGACGGTCACAGACGTCACCTTGTCGGCCGCCGAGCGATTGTGCTCCCCACCTTGGAGTGTGATCGCAACACCACACGGAATGTGCGGATGATACAAGGCCCTCGCGATGAACAACGTCGTATTTTTACGATCGACAAGGAGCACCTCGCTCCCCGACTGGGGTTGGAAGCCACACAAGCTTCCATGTGTGATGGAATGGAGCCGAGTTTGAGGTGGAGATGTGCTCCCCCACCATTAACCATCTACAGCGCACGTTACCTTCTTGGCTACCAGGCCCTGGAGACCATGGTGCCTCCGGCGGCACCCAAACGGAGTCCAGCTGGCCACTATATCCATCCCCCGGTGGAAGATGCTTCGCTTAGGCACCCTGGGAAAAACACGTTGACCCAGCTAGCGATCGGTCCTTCTACTACCACCCGGGGACAAAGCAGGTGACTTGGCGCAAACCACGGCCTGCCCTGGTCCTTCCGAAGGAAGAGGAGAGTGGGCCCACCAAGCCCAGGCGAGGCCGGACTGCGATACCACAGCCTCGCACTCCTAGTCCACCTCCTCCCAAGAGGGTGAGAACGCATCCCACCATTGATGCTCGGCAGAGAACTACGAGCTCTGAGGCCCAGCCGTCAGCTTCTGCTGCAGCCACAGGGGCGCCAACTACAGAGAGGAAGCCTGCTCCAGCCTTTGATCCTCAATCCTCTGGTGGCCCTTCTGAGTGGAACCTGGCAGATCATGCTTTACCTGCCACTCCAGATCGGGTACTGATCTGGGGAGCCAAAGCCAGGTCACAGCTACCACAACCGCCGAGTGCTCCTGCCTGTACTCTGGACGTGGAAGGATTTCTGCAGAGCTTCTTCAGGACACGGCCAGGCCCAGATGGCACATCCCTTGCCTCCTTACTTGGTGACCCAGTCCCACAACCTGATGGTTGGTGGCGAATCCCGTGGACACCGCTGGAACCTTCGCACTGCGAGCTGCTGTGTCAGGATGGTTGGCTACGGGGCTGGCACGGATGCAAGATGGAGGCACTATACTCCATTATCTACCATGGCCAGCTTCTCCCGAGCACCGATGAGTCGAAGGGTGACAGGTTCCTGGCAGGCTGTCCAGGGGTGTATTTGCATCGAGACAGCCTGCAACACAAGGTGGAGAACTACATGAGATGGATACCACTATGTGGGGATGGTCTCTTTTGGGCTGCCAAGTGGGAGGTGGTGTATGCTCCCTCGGGGAGCAATAAGCATGGCAAGCGCACTGATCAGGTTATACAAAGTGCTGAATCGGTGGAGCTGGTGGCCCTCTGGCTCTCAGTGCGCTCCGAGAACATGCTGCCCGATGGAACTGCTGTGCAGGCCAAATGGACTCCAGCACGCGAGGCCAACCCATGCCTCACTGAGCACAAGCTGAGAAGCAGTGCTCTGTTACAGACTGTGGATTTTACGGCACTGTCTGCCTCTTCAAGGCCTTTGCCCAGCTCCAGTTCGAGGTCTGACCCGGCGATCGACGACAAAGGCCGACTCAAGCCGACGCCTAAAGCACGCGGTCGCTTGTCGCACATCCCTTCTGAACTGGAGAAGGACCGGACGCCAGCACAAGCGAAGCTCACCATACAGTCGGGCAATCTGGTGCTTAAGTCGGCCACGGCAAATAGCTCGGAGACTCCCACTGCTTCGACCACGGTCTCGGCTGCTACCTCGGCCCTCCCGTCAGACTTACCTCAACGAGGACCCAAACGGGCTCGATCTGACGCCTCCTCTCCGAAACCACGGAAGATGCAGACAAGGCCCAAGCCGAGACGATCGATTTGGTTTGATGTCACGGACAATCCGGCTGACCAACCACTTTCGACCTCCTCAACTGCAGCCAAAGGCCGTGGCACTGGGACGATCAAGGCCGCCAAGCTCCAAGGACGTGTCCGTAGAAGGATGGCCAGGAAGATGGAGGAAATCTTCCAGGCCAATAGAGCCGCTGGACTTCACACGGACTCAGCTGCCTCATCCAGTGCTGCATACAACTGTTCATCATGTCCACGTCTGCATCGGCTTAGCCAGTCTTGCAAGCGGCAACACATGCCCCCTTCAAATCGACCTGCCATGTTTCTTGTCTTCGCTCTTCTCAGGTCTAGCCTACTGGTGGCTCCGCCAGACCAAGCTGACAAAGGCGGGGATCGATTTACAGAGCACCCGGAGCTGCAGACCTCTGCACCTAGGTTCGGGCAGCCACCTTGGTGGGTTCCCTGCTCACAAACCTTTGTTGCTCCCTCCGACAGCCACTGCCTGCAACATTTGTGGCTATCAGGCTTGTACCTTCCGACATGTCGGATGCCCGACGGCACGCCCGGATCCTTGCAGGTCCCTTCGTTAATCTACTGGGGCTTTGAAAGGCACCTAAGCTCTTTTCCATGTGCTTATCCAGGTCTTGAACGCCCAGTGTGCACATCCACGACAATGCCAGTCGGGCTCACATGGACCTACGGTGCTTCCCCACACCGTGATGATTATCGATGCACCGTGCCTCGAGGTATGTCAGCTGCACTGGCAACAGGCCCCACTTTGCTGCATGCTTATTGTACTCGTGATGTTTGCTCAAGACATCACACCTGGCAGGGGTGGCCAGACGCTTTCCTGACTGATCGACCTGAGCACTGTCTGGTGTGCCTTCGACACACCAGACCATCTGCTGCTGGTCCTGCTTCGGTACGATGCCCACCTCCACCACCAGGAGCTGGTCTGCAA